AAACTCTTGAATCTTCTTCGATTTTACACTTTTAGGGAAGAACTTTTCATTGAAGACTCTCTTGAATTGTTCCCATGTAAGGTTAGGTACATTCAAGGAACCTTTTGCTGATTCTCACCATGTCTACACATCGTTGATCGGGATGAATATGGTACATAACACCCTATCCACGTCACCCATTGCCATGTGTTCAAAGATCATGTCAAGAGACTCAATCCATTCTTCGACCACCATCAAATTAGCCTTGTCCATAAACTCTTTCAAATTGAATTTTTAAAATGCTCTACTATATCGGACCTCTATGATAACCTAGGCTCGATTTGTGGATCGCTATATAGACATTAGGACTCGTATCCGCTTATCATGTCTCCGTTGTTACTGTCTGTAACAATTCAAAGACATGTTCGCCTATATCCCATTATTTGTAAGTTCATTATTCCCCTCATGGTGGCCAGCCCAATGACTTGGCCCCTTACCGTTGTGATTTTTCTTAGCAACACCCTTACTATTGTGATTTTTATTCACCATGTTATTTTGAGTATAACCATTTCCATACAGATCACCAAGATGCACAATGTGGCACACAAACACATTCAACAATATTGATAATATCAAAACACGTCAAGTAATTCATCAAGTAAACAAGTTATGAATTTATCAAGCATTCAAACATATCGCATATTTCATTATGAAAGAAACAATCATACTTGCTAAGTAAAAATCATAATTTCATATCCAACAAAAATTAAGCACTTACACATTGACGACATTGTCGAGTTGAATTTTGCATGTACTTTCTTAGCTTACTAGATTGATTTACTCGATACCATTTTGTAGCCCCCTAAGCTCGAAAGGAAGGCTAGAGTGTTAAAGTAGCATCGAACATTCATGGGCTGATAGATGCGGTTGTAACGCGATCATGTCTCACGCTTGTCGAACACGCATCGATGCCCTATGACTTGAAATCATACATAGGATATGCAATGCACAATGAAAGATATTTGGCTTCAAAGCCTACTTAAAAAATCATTTTGTATCTAACACTTTTCATTGATGCAAAAACTTATATCGTGCCTTAGAAATTTCGTTGACACAAACCGCATCTAGAGCGACTCTACACTTATAACAACCTAAATTTGCCACGTATCGTGATAGCCTACTATCCAATGACTTCATAGTAGAAAAATAAGGCTCTAGTCGTGTGAACACATTATGAAAACTTTACGCATGATATCAAAATATTAAAGGCAACGTAAAAATAAGAGACACATGCTTTGGGCAAAATACTTTCATTTCATTCAAAACCAACTTGTACATATTTGTCTTGGCCATAAGGCTATTTATCTTTAACATTTACAAACGAAAACATGATATAACTTGTAAATATGAGGTAAACATTGCATATTACCTAAAAGCCCGGACGAAAGTACACCTTTTGACAAACTCCAAAAGTTTCCAATGAAGCATCATCTTTGTGGCAACCTACTTGCAAGCATCGTTACGGTCACTTACACCACAAGACAAAGAATGAGCTAACACTCAACAAGTGCAACCATGCATGAGTTTATTAAAGCTTGTTTTCATAAAGAAATTCATTTTTCTCTTTCAAACATGTCCTACCGAATGTCTAATTTAGCTCTTTTCTAAGACCTTGACAAAAACCATGAAACTAGAAAATGTCTAATCAATGACTAGCCCGTGAATATACACCAGATTATTCTCATGGGTGGCCTCTCTATGTTCATGCAAATGACTTCTTTTTCTTGCTTAAAATATGAACTTAAAAACCAATTCCATGCCATACCATGAATACATGTTTTTTCAATGCTTGATCAATAATTATCGTCAACGAATTCAAGATAACGTAATTATACTAACGACCTCTATGCATTAAGCAAATTCAAGATAAATTATAATTCACCAAGCTAACATATCAAACATGTCTAAGTTCACCTCAAGCTACTAAAATTCAAAATTTATTCAATCAAAATATGGTAACCATAAAATTAACATTTCGACAAAATCACAAGCAAAGCCACGCCAATCGGATTTTGGCAAAATATAATCAAGCAATTTCAAGCATTTCATTCGGCTACAAAGGCACACCAAGTTCAGCCCATATTTTATCTAAGGTTTACATGGCAATTCTAAGCTTAGTGGTCAATCCTAAGTCCCATACATCAAGATTTCTATCTACCACACAAACATAGTAAAAATCGACTTAATATATCAAGAATACCTAAACCTAGGTCTTGTAGTGTAGTTGAATGAATTACACTTACTTTGTCTAGAGATATGAGATTGGAAAATACTTCAATAGACCACAAGAGACTCTCTTTGTACTTGGTCCAGTCTTTAGCCAAAATTGGCGAGCAACTTCCTTAGTTACGGTAGCTCCCACTCAAGTAACTCTCCATTTTCTCTTATAGAATTTTCAAATGGCCAAAAAAATCTAATCATGGTGTCAATCTCTCTTTGTATGGGCCAACCATGCATTAGAAAATGCTTAAAAATTATGGAGGATGACACCTCCTTGGCTAAATCACCTATGTAAGGCATGGTGGTGACACCTACATTCCTACTCACTCAAGGAAAAGGTAAGTCTCTCTCAAATGTTCAATCTATGCTATCAAATCCCTTAAATCAAACACAAATCATATTTAATGTGTCCTTATGTGATTTTCATAATAAAAGGACTAATATATCACTATGTATAGTTGGACATAAAATTCATCAACGAAAAATTGATGTCACGATAGTGGCAGTTTTTGTTGACGTAAACTAAAATATCCGAACACAACATTTTTCATCAAAGAAAAATAGCATGTCCGGACTTAGTCATTTTCAGCAATAATTTCACCTAGCATATAGTAGAGCATGACATTTGGTAGCAAAGCATAAGTTAAAACATAAACCTTGTCAACGAGAGCAGGAAGTCTTGACGCTATAGTTTTGTCAACGAATAAAAGTTGTCTTGGCACGGTAGTTTCGACAACAAAACTAGCACGTCGAGGTACTCGTTGTTTTCGATAATGAATCCGGCATGTCTTGATGCGAGCATAAAAAAAAATTAAGCATAGAAATCAAATAAATTAATTAGGCATTAAGCTAAATACATACAAGCATACATATGTTACGTTTCATCGGTCTCGGTCATTATAGAGAATCGGTCCTAGGAGGAGGCCCACTAGTTCTATAGTGGTGGCGGCTAATAGTTTTGTTAGAATTGGGAGATTCGATTGGGTTATTAAGTGGGTCGAGTCATTGATCTTGTCTCTTCAATTCCGACTAGATCTAGAATCTCCTCCTCTTCAACTCGGTTAAGAATGATGGACCCGAGTGTGGGCTATCAATTGTGGTGGTGGTAGTTGGAGGCAATATCGTCCTAAAGGTGGCTGATTTGGAGGAGAAACATTTGGTTGGGTAAACGAGTCTTTGGGTTCACTATTTGGGTAAGGGTATGTTTGGCTTCTTCTTTTTTTTTTTTTTAGTTTTTAATGTTTTTTCGTATGAAGGTTTTTTTGTGGGGTTCTTATGGGTTTTTTAGTGATAAAAGGTGGTTGGATGTGTGGAGGATGTTATAGTGGTTGGTCATGTGAAAGGAAGATATTGATGATGGTTTTAATGGAGGGTGGTGACTTGGATGATGGAGGAATAATATTGTCTTTGTGGGTTTGGATGATATTAGAGCTAGAAAACCAGCTATAAAGGAGGAATGTTTGCTGGAAAATTTTTGAGGGGATGGAGGCTTGTTGTGTGTGGAGAGAAAAATGAGTTTTTGTAGGTAGGAATTAGGATTTTTGGACAAAAATGAATTTTGATCCCCGATTCCTTTTAATTCATCCAATTAAATGTAATTTGAATGGCACCTCAAATTACAATTAATTAGAACATTTCTTAATTATCTTTTTTTAAAATCATATCCTTTCGTCTCGTTTTTTTTTTTTTTAATTTGAGGATTCGGTTTTTTTTTTTTTTGACTTTTTAAATATTTTTTCGTTGATCGATTTGTTCGGTTCTTGATCTTTTTTTAAATTTAATTAGACTAATTTGAACTCGTTTATTTAAATTGATTTCTTCTCTTTTTTTATTTGTTTTCATTTACTTTGTTTGCATTTATATTATATATTTTTTTTGTTTATTATTATTATTTTAGTATTTTTTTTTAATAATAAAAAAATAATGAGGGAGAAATTGGATATTAACAAAAACTTACATTTTTCATAAGGCACTATCAAAACAATAAGGTAAACTAAAGTATATTTCGAAAATGAAGTAATATATAAAGAAGCGTTGGTAACTTTCTTGACATTATAATGAGAAATATTAAACACGAAACATCCTTACTAAATCCTTTGTCATACTTTTTTATTATTATTCTTAGGTATCTTGGATTGTAAGCGATAGTCTTTTAATCATACATGAGCAAAACAAATTATCAATTTTAAATTCAATATCAACATATTCTTTTTATTAAAGGATCATCTCATTTAAAAGCTTAAGCGGTGAGGCCTCGAATATAATTTATAATAATCTCTAACACACTCTCTCAAGTGAAAATCTCAACATTTAGGCTTCAAACTTGCACGGATCCCTATTGTCTTATGCTTAAGAATTGAGAAATTGAGAATAATAAGACTCGAACTCGAACCTCTTAGTCAACCAAGCTCGATACCATATTAAAAGACCATCTCACCCAAAAGCTTAAGCCGATAAATGAAATCCTAAAATATAATTGATAATAATCTCTAACACTTTCAATAACTTGAGATTCCCATAGCACGTAATCATCAAATTGGATATTGCCTATACAGACAAATGTGCATCCCAGTTGAGAAGCAACTATTTTGTTGAACGCATGTAATAACAAATTATTATGGAAGCAATACATTTATAAGCATCTCAGTTGAGAATGCTGAATTAACAATGAAACATTGGCTTGTAATTTCTATAGATCAGAACCAACGATGCCTGTGCAGGACTCGCACATCGGTGGTCAATCATCTTGGCTCATGCTTTAAAACAGTTGAGCACTAACGAATGGTTAAAGTAAGTGCATAAATGTTGCATGTACAAAAACCATAAACGACCTATTTTGAGTTGAACCTTCACGTTTCCTCTTCGAGCTGCGAAAGCTTTGGTAGGCTCCTCCACTGAGATCATTGAGATGAGTGCAGTGCTGACTGCTGATGCTTCATATGGAATGCAAGGAATCAGGTCCCAGGAAATGTGCTGCCTGTGCTAGAAAGGATTATGAATGCGCAAACAACAGAGAGTGAAAACACAGACACCCAAGTATTTTCGGTGTACATCTCCATTGCATCTGTAAAGGAAAACCGAGCACGGTTTTCAGCCCAGTTACGGAGTCGATCTGCCTCTGCTGCATACAGTGCCCTTCCCTGCAGGATATGAAGGTATATAAATTCTCACTTAAAACAGTTTACCATCCAAAAACTGTGTTTCACTGCACACCCACATAGAAAAGAGGACGACAAATAGGATGCTTCTATGATTCTATCAGTCAATTCTCAAGAATCTCATCTGAACGAGCACCTTATCAACCATACAAGTTTCAAATCCAACTTTGAACCAAGTTCAACTTATTAGGTAGAAAATAACTACACAAGTAGAAACATAAGAGATAATTATGAGGAAACTAAGCTTTTTGTTATATTACATGTTATAGAACTTCTTAGCTGGCTAAACTTTATGCTGCCAGTTTTTGAATGGCAAGTTGATTCCAAACCAAACGTTTAGGATAACCCGTATATTTCAGAAGATCAAAACAGACGAACATTGCAAGGGTTGAGTCAACAAATCAACTTGGCAGTTAGAAAACCATTTTCCTTGCCTGCCTGGAATGGTGGCAACCATGCAGTTAAGATGCTAGTAACTAGTAAAACTATTCCTGAGGCAACCAATATTTACCTGGTCATCAAACCAGCGACCTCGTCTCAACCATGCAGTGACCAAAGCAAGTAATATCCTAGGAGGGGTCAAGTAATTGATGGCCTTCCCTGTACCCTTCACAACCCTCATCCTTGGAACTAAAGTTCTTGCAACTGTTTCTGGAAGCTCACAGATGATATTAAACATTTGTTTGTTCTTAAGTGTTGAGCCACTGCAAAAGAACCACACCAAGCATGGAATGAAAGCACAATTACTAAGTGTGGAGGAAAATTTCAAGCACAAATCAAGAAGTGGTCCAAATTTTTTTTTTTTTTTTTTTATGAAAAAAAGAAGTATCATTTCAAATATAACATTTGTTCTACAAGGAAAACTTTCATCTGATGCAGACCAGTGCATAAAAACATTGTAATAAAAAAAGGTTCACATTCACAAGCTCATACACGGTTTCAGTTTAATCGACAGGTGGGGAGGGAGTCTTGCAGAACAAGCCGAAGTAATCTTGAGCAAAAAAGAAATAGTTAAGCACATAATTGCGACCTCACAAGCTAACTGAGATCATAACTACAGTAGCATAGGAACAGCCAAAAAAAAAAAAAATGCAACAAGTATACCTCAAGAGCAACTCTGTAAGAACCATTCCTGGAGATGCTGTATGTACTCCAACTTTAGACCGCTTACACTCCTTCAAAAGTGATGCTTGAAGCTGCCTAAGACCACACTTTGTTGACCCATAGCTACAAAGTTCAGAAGATAAAACAGGGTAAGCATATGCACAAAAACCAAGAATTCATGACTTTCACAAATGCTGCCGGTTATTCAAGTGCAATAATCAAACTCCAAGTGAAAACTTTCAGCCTGTACCAATGAGGAAATAAGCTACCACCACTTCAGTAGGCAATGACAACTTACACAGCTGTGAGAGGGGTACTAGATCCCCCAGAACCTGCACCATCCATGTTGAAAATGTGTCCGCCCTTGGGCTGGTTCATCATCACTCGCATGGCTTCTTGAGTGCACAGAATAGATCCAACCAAATTTGTTGACACAATCTATGATAGAAACAGTAGATTGAGCTAATTAATTCAAAATTAAGAGAATAATCACATCTGCATTGAAATCCTTTTATAGATAAGAGCATAAGAGACGGAATCCAATCAGATTTTCTAGCATCGTCAAAGTATGTGCCCTAATTCATCATTAAAAAAAAAAAAACACATGAGTCCTCGTACTTGTGCGAGTGCATGTGGGTGGGGGAGTGGTACGCTGCTTTGCCATTACGCTTAATTGAATCTTATTAAATAACAACCAAATGTTATTTTTTGTGCCAACAAATGAATTATAGAAAAACATTTTTAAAGAAAAACATTATGTTGTCAACATTTTCAGTTATAATATACGACTTAGTTACCTGTTTAATATCTTCATCAGTAAACTGCAACAAGGGTCTGAAACCTTTATTTGCGCCAGCATTGTTTATCTGTAATTTGCAAAGCACAAGGAATACGAGAAATTCTCATATTTTGTATATTGATCAGGACCACACAAGAATCAAACTAGCAGGAAATTAAGAGATTTGGAGAAATTAGTAAAAACACAATAATAATCCCACATCAGAAATGAAACATATAATAACATTATTTATGTATGCTCGATAACTGAGACCTTCCCCAATCCCAAATCAAGTCTTCTCTACTTGAGCTACACCAAATTAAAGATGAAAAAATTATCAACGTATGTGTGCGCGTAGAGACACATGCACAGGACAGGGAGAGACGGAGTTAAACAAGCTAAAGTGCAAGTTACAAACACCAGCAGAAAAGGCTAAAACACTCACCCATATATCAATAGAACCAAATTCATTGACAGCAAAATTTGCTAATTTCTGCACGTCAGAAGGTTCACAAACATCACAAGCCATGCCGACCACTTTTGCATGTGCCAACCTTGTCCTGGTTGAACTACTGATCATTCCTTCCTGGAGATTCTCCTCAAGCTCTCTAATTGTCTTATCTACAGACTCAGGGCTGCCTTTGCAGAGAATCAAGCATGGTGTGTGAGTACAAATATTATAAAGATGAAAAAAAAATCAACTTTTTTTTTTTGTACAACCTGCGTGAAGCAACGACGACATGATCGCCAGAAAGAAGAAATTCTCGAGCAAGAGCTTTTCCCAGGCCCCTTGTACTAAATCCATTTAAATATGCACCAGAACCAAAAAAAAAAAAAAATGTAAGCTCTCCATATTCGCAAAAATTAGCACAATTTCAGCTGAATTGCTGAGATGCTCTTCTAAGTGCACAATTTATGGATATATTTTGTTTAATCATACAAAATGATGCCTCACAATTTATGGAAAAGCCAATGAGACACTAAATTGTAAAACTGATGGGATTCCATAAAATTTAATCAAGTAAAATCCAACTTATTCATGAAGCCTGCAGAAGGAGGGAGAGTACCTTCCAGTTATGACAACATTACGTGGACCAGCTCGACAGTGTTCATCTAAAACCATGTTAGCACCTATCATAGTTCCAATAATAATCCCTCCAAGCCAGCTATACCAAATCAGAGTGTTCATCTGACTGTCTCCACCTTCATTAAAGAATTGCAGACTATTGAATATGCATGTATAGAACATCAATCTAACATCATGACACGAATGCAGGGCATTGGACATCATCCTTGCTGTAAAACAATGTGTTTGCTAACCTGACAACTGAAAACCAACTGCAAGTACTACTCCAGTGCTCATCATGGTCACTATATATCTTCCAATTTGGAGGGCAGCCTGGATCGTGAGCAAGGAGTTAAAAGTTGGAACCTATATGCCAATAGTATAAGACAGAACTTACTGCTCTACGACCAAATACTACGAAAACAAAATTTCAAGACAGGGTGTTTCTAAGATTTTGAAACTGAAAGGAAACAAATCGCTCAATAACGCTGAACAGTCCTGATTAGCTCAACAAAAAGAGTACAGATTTCTGGACTATCGAACTTTCTTAGCAACAATCACTGCTTTTCAATCAAACACATGCATAAGCTCAATAAATTGTTAAATCACTGAAAAATAAAAGCAAGCTACCTGCATAATAAAGCATTAAAATTATTCACAAAACTGTTAAGTACGAAGTATATATTATAATCGACCAACTATTCCCAACTCACCAAAGAAAACACCTCCTCCAATTTAGCAACTGCCATACTATGCTCCTCGTCTGACTGAGAACCCAAACTACCAACCCCAGAAACTGCCTTTTTCAAAGAACTCCAAAACCCACTTCCCTTCTTCAACTTGCTGTGGTTTTCCTTCAAAATTTCATACTTCTCCTTCTGTTTCTCCTCCACTCCCCCATCATCCTTAGTCTTAAAAGACCTGCACTGCTGCACACACAACCCATAACTTTTCTTGTGTACCCCAAATCCAGACCTCAAAAAACCCCTTCCAAGTGATGATCTAATTCTTTGGTGTTCTTCGAAACTAAAATGATCTATGCTTTGTGGGGATATGTGAAGCCTAGTTATTGAAAAAGCCATAGTTATGAATTATTACAATACTAAACTAATGGAGTTCATGTACTTAAAAAGTGTTCCAATATTTGTGGACAACTTATGGAGGAATATCTTGCTGGTACTGCTGAGTGCTGACGTTTGTTGTTAGTCTTGCTAGTAAAAGATCGGTAATTACGAGGTTAAATAGGAAATGAATAAAATATCGGGGAGCGAGGGACATGAGATTGCGTGATCTAACCATACGGAAGAGAATTGTGTTGGCCACACGTTAAAGCAACCTCATCTTTTGTGTTCTTGTTGACACGTAGCTTTGTGGGTTTGTTCTGTCAGGGTCACATTTCAGTTTTCAGTTTTTCCTTGGGAACAATCTTTTACATATCCCACACAACACGCACTCTCCCATTAGCTTCGTTGCCTTTGAGTAATAATCTATCTATCCATCTATTTGTCTGTTACATCAAAAAAATTATAGATTTTGGCCCAATAAATTAAAAAGATAAAATCCAACAAATCTTTTAATGAGTCTTTATATATATATATACACAAAAATAGCCATTCCTAGCCTATAAGAATTTATATACGGCCCAATAAGTCTAATCCACGTGAAATAAACTGAAAGACTTGCAGCAGCTAACCGTTAAGACACATGTAAAACATAGAAACATGGACTCTCAACAAAACCAAATTATAGGAAAAAAAAAACATGGGAAACAATCATATTTAGCATCAGAATCAATCAACGAAGTAGGTAATACAATAATAATAGAATTCTAATTTAGACTTGTTATTTAGATTGCATATTAGTATAAGAAATTGAATCCTTAGTTTAGATTAATCATTGTTACCAATTAAACTTATAGCTACCATGAACTCTTATCAAGAGTTTTCAGTTTAACAGTAATTTGTTCAATTTATTTATTTATTTTTTAAGATAAAACATTAAAAATATCATTAGAATTAGTAGTTACTAGTTGGATACCCACGTTATTACGTGGTCGAACAATCGTTAGATATATAAGGTCGACAATTTGTATGGTATTAGTACAAGTAAAAATCTTTTTTCTTGTAATTAATGTAAATCAAAATCATTTGATTTATATATATTTATTAACAAAATAATCAATAATGTTAGCATAAAAAGTTGTATTGGAATAATTAAAAGGTTCCTTCAAAAAATTATTTCAATTATTTTATTTTAAAAATACTGATTTTAGAATATAAAAAAGAATAAATAACAAATAATTGATGTTATGTGTGCAAATAGATAGTTAATTTCTAACAAAACTAATGATATATATTTCAATTATTTTATTTTTAAAAATATTGATTTTAGAACATAAAAAAGAATAAATAACAAATAATCGGTGTTATGTGTGCGAATACATAATTAATTTTTAACAAAACTATATATGTATGATCATACTTAGTAGATTCAAAGTATATAGTATAAACAATTTTTTTTAAAAAAAAAGCCATCTAAGTTGTATGAAATATTTTAAAGTCAATAAATTGAAATAAAAATATTACAAAATTAGTTCTCATAAATTTAACTTCTTAATTTATGATGAAAGAGATTATTGAATCGCAAATTAAATTATAAATTAGTTCATCTTATTTTGAAAAATGAATTAATTAATTCTTTTGGTTTCAAAAATAAATTATTTAATTTTTTCAATCACTCGTTGACCACGAATAATTTATTTTTTATTTTAGAAAAAACTTTTCTCATATTTTTACTTTTTTTTAATTCTTTCTCTATTTCTTAAAACAAAAAATAATACAATTGAAATAGCGAAAAGGACAAAAAAAAAATAATTTTCAAATTGAAGGGACTAATGGTATAATGTATTCGGATATATAATTAATTTTCTATAAAACTAGTGTATATATATATAATCATACTTAGTAGATTCAGAGTATATATATATATAATCATACTTAGTAGATTCAGAGTATATAGTATAAACAAATTTTTTTAAAAAAACAAAGCCATCTAAGTTGTATGAAATATATTAAAGTCAATAAATTGAAATAAAAATATAACAAAATTGGTTCCCATAAATTTAACTTCTTAATTTATGATGAAAGAGATTATTGAATCACAAATTAAATTATGGATTAGTTCATCTCATTTTGAAAAAATAAATTAATTAATTTTTTTGATCTTAAAAATAAATTATTTAATTTTTTCAATCGGTGTTGACAACGAATAATTTATTTTTTTATGTAGAAAAAAATTTTCTCATATTTTTACTTATTTTTTTAATTCTTTCTCTATTTCTAAAAACAAAAAATAAAACAATTGAACTAGCAAAAAGGACAAAAACGTTTAGTTTAAATAATTTTTTTGATAATAAAATCATCTAAGTTGTATGAAATATATTAAAGTCAATCAAATTGAAATAAACTACTACAAAATTGGTTCCCATAAATTTTAGTTCCTAATTTATGGTGAAAGAGATTCTTAAATTGCAAATTAAATTATAAATTAGTTCTTATTGTTTTGAAAAAAGAATGAATTAATTATTTTGGTTTCAAAAATAAATTTTTTAATTTTTTTAATTGGTGTTGACCATGAATAATTTATTTTTTATTAAAAAAATGTTTTTTTTCATATTTTTACTTTTTTTTTACTCTTTCTATATTTCTTAAAACAAAAAATAAAAACATTAAAATAGTAAAAAGAACAAAAAAAATTAATTTTTGAACCAAAGGGAGTAATGATGTTATATAAGCAGATACATAATTAATTTTTCATAAAACTAATGATATATATATCATCAAACATTAAAAAAAAATATCTAAGTTGTATGGAATATATTAAAGTTAATAAATTGAAATAAAAAATACTACAAAATTGGTTCCCATAAATTTTACTTCTTAATCTATGATGAAAGAGATTCTTGAACTGCAAATTAAATTATAAATTGGTTCATCTGATTTTGAGAAATGAATTAATTATTTATTTTGATTTAAAAAATAAATTATTTAATTAATTTAATCAGTATTGAGCATGAATAATTTATTATTTTATAAAATGTCTTTATCTATACACACACACACACACACACACACAACTATTTTTTATTCTTTCTCTATTTCTTAAAACAAAAATAAAAATATTGAAATAGCAAAAAGGAAAAAAAATTAGTTTTTAAACCACAAGGACTAATTAATTTGTTTCTCGAAGAAAGAGAGGCTAATTTATAATCACTCTTGAATAGCAAGTGACTTTGGCTTCCTTGTCAAAAATAAGAAGAAGAAGAAACATTGAAAGAAGACGGGAGCATTAAATGCTCAATTTGAAAAAAAAAAAAAAAAAAAAAAGAAGAAAATGATGAAAAAGGGAAAAAAATAAAATTAGAAAGAACATTAGTTAAGGGAAAAAATGAAATTTCTCAAATCCATCAAGCATCAAAAGAGAAATTAACAAAAAGGTAGGAGGCGAAAAATCAAACAACACAATAAATAATGAATCTAAGTCTAAAACAATAGTAAATAAATAATAAATATCTCGAGTTCTTTTAGTTTTTTTCTACTAATATATATCAAATTAAAAATAAAAGATAAAAATTTTATTTAATTTCATAATTTTTAATCAAAAATTTTATTTCATTCATGTTTTTTTTTTTTATGTTTTTCATAAATTTTGTTGTTAAAAAAACATGATTCATTTTTTTATTCATTCATTTATAAATCGAAACCCGTAATAATATAATATAATTTTTTAAAAAAATATCTTAATATTTTTTATAAGGCTACATCAGAAAAATATATCAACAACCTATAAAATTTGTATAAATATTAACAAATGAATCTTTTAAAACTTTTTAAAAATATGTACATTTGATACATAGACACACACACGCACACAAAACAATCAATAATATTAAGTATAAAAACATGTATTTGAATTATTAGGAGGTTCTTTTAAAATATTATTTTATTTAAAATAAATTAAATTTAGAATATTAAAAATAAATAATATGAAATAGTTGGTGTTATATGTTTAGATGCAAAATTAATTTTTAATAAAATTAATGATCTCAATACTTTTTTGTGTACATCATTACATCATTACCATACTCGTATAAATTAAAAATATATATATTAAAAAAAACTTAAGTTATAAGAAATATATTAAAGTTAATAAAGTGCAATGAAAATAATTTAAAATTTTATTCCAAAAAAATTGATTATATCAAGAATAAGGTAAAGAAATACGTGAATTCTATTCTTTATTAAAAATTCATATACGAGAGAAAGAAAAATCATATTTATTAACAAATAAAATTTTATAAAGAATAAAAAATTAATTTGATAAGAATTTTTATAATAATCAAAAAATTTAAAAGATTAATTTTAATCAATAAAAAAATATAATCCAATATATATGTTTGTTCTAAAATTTAAAAATATAAGAGATCAAAACATCTTTTAAAAATATGAGGAACAAAAAATATATTTGGAAAAAATGTGAGACAAAAGCTGGATTAAGTTAAAAACATGAGATGTCAAAATATTTTTAATAATATGAGGATTTAAAAATACATTTTCAAAACATAAGGGACCAAAAAAGAATGAAGTATAAAATTTGAAAATAAATGCTTAAAAAGCTATAACAAAATTACAAAAATGCCATTAAAAAATTACAAAAATGTCATATTGTTAACGAGTGAATGAAGGCAAATGAATAGTATTTTACTTGTTCATTTGCCCCACTTCTTTTAGTTTCTTTAGTAATACATTTAGCATAGTTAATTTGGTTCATCTACTTATGAATCTAGAAGTAAACTTTCAACCATCTTTTTTACTCTTTTGTTATAAATTCATCTTAGTTGAGGAAGATACAAAAGAATCCAAACACTATCTAAAGAAAAACCAATAACAACTTATAAGTTCAACAATAGAACATTATTTTCTTGAAACTTATATACAAACTGATATACTCAAGAAAAATTATAGGACCAAACATGAATGACACAATATAAAGAGAGGTCCACCAAAAGGATATGTCATTAAGGTAAAAGGTTAAAAGCCCTTTACGTTTGGGCATTAACTTGTTACTTTACCTATGATGGAAAAATATGCATTCTTAACTACCAAAAGGATAGAAAGAGTCTTCATTAAACAAAGATACATTCTAGAAACCCCTCTTGTTAATCAAAGTGGTCACATCATTGTAATTATCACCAAATCATAAATGAGTCACATTAAAGGACATAGGTCCCCCAACTTGGTGTCAAAAACTATCAATAGCTAAAGAATAGATCCTTCTACCCATTTCACCATGCAATTTGATAGAAACCTTTGCACGTATAAGAACCCTAACCACCAAGGATTATACATTCCTAATCTTACTCTCTCTAATACATACTATTATTTATTCTCTTTCATATGCGAGAGATACACTTAAAGCTTGATCAAGCATTATACACTTAAATCATGATCAAGCATTTTCTTTTTCAATCATTGATTTAATCATAGGAGGGTCCCTCGATCTAACAACAAGACTTGCCTTGAAGGTAGTTTAAGTAAGCATAATCTCTACCAATCAATAATCTAGACCATTAATCATCAACCACAAATAGCCATATAATCATTCATTGCTATTTAATTTTCCAAGAATCATTATTTGTCATCATTTATGGAAAATGGTTTAAAAAGACAGTTTCTCAACTCTTCATACAATCTCTAAGGTTTTTCATGGCTACTTATCAAGAAATTTCGGGTCGTATGACCACTAATAGACTTTGATGGTTCGAACACCCAACTTATAAATTTACTCGAATTGTAACAAAGCATTTAGAGTTTAACAAACATATTCCTAGCCACCTAAGAACGAGATAAAGATCTTATTACTCTACCACGAAGACCCAAGGCCCCTCAACTAGTTCCATGACTCGTAGAGAATCCTCAACCACCTCCATCTAAAGACGTGAACAAATAATTGTCCTTGAAGGTGGAAGTAAAAAGATGTGGTGGTAAAAAAGAAGAAAGAAGTGTGCTTACAAACTTCGATCCTCAATCAAGCCACTCTTATCCTTGCAAAAATTTACTATATATTTAAGACTGCGGACGCTCACTAGTAACCACTTTTGAATCGAAGAAACATTGAGTCTTGGAGAATTAACCACACTTTGTATATATAATATCGATCATTTTGCAACGGATGGTAAACGACGAACAATTTTCGTCATTGATCGTTATTAAATATAATGGTAAAATATCCACGAGTTGTTTCGGTGAACGATTGGTGATTGTTTGATGAGGAAATTTAGAGACGAATACTTCAATTCATCACTAATTTTTATGTAATGGTTAGCGAGGGAATGTTCCCCCACTAATTTTTAAAGTTTTCGCCAATTAGTGATGGAACAAATTATGTCGCTATTTCTTGACCAAAATTAGCGATGAATTGCGTTAATCGATCTTTATTTTTAGTTAAATTACAAAATATTATGTCTTGAAGATTCTATCTTAGTCTCTACAAACTAAACATATTGAATTTCTATCTTGTATTCATCCTCATACGCCATATCTCGAATAATACGCTATGTAAATAAACAATTAACTTATATATAGATATAATAAACGACATTTAATGACTTTACACATTTAGCCCTTTTTTGTTTTTAAAATTTTATAACACAACAAAAAAAAAACTTCTCAATGATCGGATGAAGCTCTATTTGGATTGACGGAAGGTTTATAGTGGAATGGAACCTAACGTAATGGTATGAAATGGAATGGAATGGAATAGAGAGTTACAAATTAAAACACTTGCTTGGGATGAACGAAAGGGTTTATAATGAAATTGTCAACGATGTTGTTTGGGAAAGCAATGGAATGGAACAGAATTGTCCATTAATAAGAAAAGATGACAATTTTACCTTCTATGTCTCTTTTATCAATAAACAAAATTGAAATGAGCAATTAAATAGTTATTGAGCTAATATATTATACTTTTATCCATATTAGTACTATTTTTTATTGTCTAACTATTAAAGTAATATATATTTAGACAAAAATGAAATGGTCGAAGGTTGAGATGTAAAGGGAAAAAAAATTATGAAGAATCCATATATTGTAATATTCGGATAGAATAGCTTGGTCATACCCCTTCATTACCAAAGACCATCCGCATTACTATATTCTTATGATGTATGAAAGGAGCACCTAATACAACTCACAACCTAGTTGGGTTCTCAATTAAAGAAAGATACAAAATATCCAAATGAGCTTCTTCAACACCTAGCTCGTCAAATGAACATAAACATCCTCTTCCATAATTGGAAGTCCTTACACCACCTTTATTAACTCGGATGTTGATTTTAGAATAGCTTCAACAACTATATCAAAATTGTCTCTAATGAACTCAAGTTCATTCTCATTAAGGCCGACTTTGTTCTTTCCCTTCTAACTTTTTAATGAAGAAGCATATTAAGAATGAGATTGAGTTCTTGTATTACAATTATTGGTATCGACCACATGTTGATCATCATCATCATTTTTCATGGCACAATCAATTTCCAAAGAGATCTCATTATGAGAAATCATATTATCAAAGTCATCAATAGAGTCCATATTACCATCCTCGACTAAAACATTGCAATTTTGCCTTATTTCATTAGCAGTTTCAACATGCTCACCTGTTGCTCTATCTTGACCATACATCTCCATCATCTTTTCATAATTGTAAACAAATTTAACCATCCAATCTAAAGCTTCGGTTTAACATATTAAAAAAATCACATATTTTATAAATAAAAAAATATCACGTATTTTAGAGATAAATATGCAATCACCTTAATTAGGCTCTCTCAAACTTCAAGTTTAGCAATCCACATACTTATAGTAGGATTCTATGCAAATCCACTACCACCATTTGAGAACATATCATAACATTTAGCCTACTTATTCTTAATAAGTTTCTTGCGGTTCTTAAATTTCTCCTTATCAATCCTTTTTCCTAGAAACTTTTCCTTCAACCCAACTTCAATTTCATCAAGAGCATTGCTTATAAATGTGCCACTAACTCTATTGCCTTGGCAATATTGATACAAGTATGCATCAGCCAAAACATCACCCATAACTTGAGTCCAAAAACATTTCCTCTCTCTACCTTTTGTTGCAGCATTCTTTGGTGGAAGTCTTTTTCTTAGTGGCATTCTGAATGCTATATAAAACATTTGAATATAAATAAGATGGAAAAAATATAAAGTGAAACCATGAAATAATTCACTCAAAAACCATTGTATTAATAATAAAATGAAAAAAATTATCAACATGTTAAAAATACATAAAGAAATAGAACAAACATTGTCAAACCATTAAAAGAGAAAGAATTATTCAATTAAAATAAGTAACATTAATTTGCGTTATAATCTACCCATATTTGGGTAGTAATTGAATCTTAAATCATTCCTCCTCTATGTGCATCCTCATCATCATCTTTTTGTTGTTCATCTTCATCATGGGTGTCATCATTAAGTTCATTATCAATTTCATTAAGTAGATCATCACTTGGATTTGCACCAATTAAATAGTTGTGTAAAATAACACAAGCCATGATAATCCTCTTTTATGTTTGAATACCATAAGATGGTTCGGTTATTGTTGATACAATAGGAAACCGTTTTTTAACACCAAATGCTCTCTCAATAACATTATGTAAAGAGGAATGTTGATGGTAGAATAATTCATATGGATTTCATGGAGGATTCCTTGAATACTCTTTTAAATGATAATGTTCTCATGTATAAGGTGTTAGAAGCTCACTCCTCAACATCAATCCAAGCATCAACAAAATAGTATTTTCCTATAATGGATAAAATCACATTAAATTATTATGGAACATTTGAATTAAAAAGTTTGATCACTAATAATATAAGTTCGATCATTTAATTTACTTGAGGGAATTTTAAGTGGATATCATCTAAATAAGGCATTTTTCATTATACTTGAATCTAATGCGATCCCTTCTCGCCTAGATAAGACATAAGTGGATTTTAAATCAAAGGAATAATCGGCTAACACATTTTGGGTTGGATTATCTTTTTTACTATGAAATCTAAAAGCATCTCTACTCGACTCTTTCACACGAATATGTTATCATCAATAGCACCAATACAATCATGATATTTATATATTCTATTATTTGTTAGAACTCAAGTATTTATGTACAATTTAATGGAAAATTTCAAGTAATAGAAGGTATATTCAACTTAAAATATGGGTAGAATCTACCGAGGTTTAATATTTCTAGAGGAATTTTCAATCCATCTAGTTGTTTTCTAAACATATCTTATAACTCAATTGCAGCTTTCAATACTCTATGGAAATGATGACTAGCGAGTCTTTTTAGATCGACTAAAAAAATGCAATTTCTCAAGTGGTTACGTTATGTACCAAAATGTAAAGAAATTTTACAACTTTTTCTTCAACACATACTATATGAGTTGGTTTAAGTCCTCCATTCCTAACTAATAAACTACACAAATTGATAAATGGCCTATATCCTATTCTTATAATTTCAAGACCTTTATGGTGATCAACAAGTCATTGCATTATATTTTTTTTCATGAGTTCACTCTTTCTATAGGAGTAAAATGTACAACTTCATTATTGCTAGCTCTCCTTTGTAACATATACCAACACACCATAAGACAAGCAACTTGAACAAGTGTTAGTGATGTATACGAAGCAACTTGAAAATTGCATGGTTTATGTCATTATCTAGAAAAAACATATCTAACAACAAAGTTGGAAGGTAATTCATAATTAGAAAGTTGGAAGGTAATTCATAATTAGATTATTGTAAAGGTTAAGAAAAATATTTATAAATTCATATCGAATAGGTAATATAGAATTAACAAAGTCCAAATTTAAATTTCCATACAATATTTTATTATTGAAGATTACTTCTAATTAGTATAGTTAAAATATAAAAACTAACAAATATATATAACTAACAAACAATTAAGTAAACAAAAAGAGCTTGATCTTGCATGTATATATATTTTTTCAACTATATCCCTTAACCAAATAAGCAATTAAAGATATCATATTTATCAATAAATAAATAAAATTCTTATATCTATCAATAATAATAAATACAAAAAGTAATTATTTAGGTAGGAATTTATGAAAAAAAGTAAATAAAAAACAGAAACGTAAAAAGTACTTATTGTTTAGGTATGTATTTGCTAGCTAGATTTTAGGAATTTATGAAAAGAAAACATCAAAAAAGAAGAAGATGGATATATATACTTGCTAACTTCCCCTCAAAATTAGGTGAATGGATAATATTTGTTAGAATCCTATAACCAAAATAATTTCAATTAAAACAAACAAATTAAATAGTTTTAGTTTGTAATTAAAGAAAGAAACCATACATGTGGGATTATTTCTTAGCAAAGAGCAGACTCTCTCAATTTTGCAAGGTTTTAAGTGACGATGTGAAAATGAAGAGTGAAGTGAGTGGTGATAGGGTTAATAAGGTTAATGGTAATTTTATAAATAATAAAATTAGTTAGGGATAATTTTGGAAAGAAATGTTTTTAATGAGGTGTGACCATTCCATTCCATCGTAAACACCTCAAATTGGGGTTGCTCATTTTACTATTTAGGATGGAATGGAATGGAACAACATACCATTCTATTCCATTATATTCATCCCAAACAACAATCTAAGTGTAGTTTACATTACATTCCATAATAAGAGGTTAGAAATTGATTTCCATTTGATTGAAAATTTATGGTAACTTTTGACAAATAAACCTTTATTGTTCATTAGGTTTTATGTTGAACCATCATATTTCTTATGACGCATGGTCTTGGCTTTGCGATTGGCACTAAAACAATAAACCATAGGACCAAACAACAATGGCCTTATGATGTAGACTTTATAAAAAGGGATGTATAAAAAAATATAAAGCATTCAAGAGATACGAGAGAAAAGTGCGGAAGAACGTGACCTTTTAAGAAAGATATTAGGAGAGTAAGAGGCTTATAAATACAAGTCGTCGTAGAAGGAAAAAACATATAATACAACATACAAATATACTCAACTTGAAAATTGCAAAGAGCTCTAAGAGCATTATCCTCAATTTAAAAAAAAACTTGAAACTTTTTAGGTGATATCTTGTAAATAGTAATCAAGTGAAAAAATAGATTTGTAAGCTGATAGATTGGTTCTTGGTTCCGGTTCAACATCAATAATTTGTGATCATGAAGGATTGATATGTCTAGAGTATCTATTTAAAAGCATTCATCGTCATTAGTTAATTTGAGTGTTCATTTAGATTTGTTATATTGTTAATTTAAAATCTTATCTTTTCTAATTTGTAGGTTGTTTAATCTTGTAATTTTCAATTCGACCTAGTTGTTGTGATTTCAAATTAGTTCAAGATATTCGAACCTTTTGTTTAAGATCATTATTGTTATTAGTAATAATCTTTCCAAAACTACACTCTGCCGGACTATTTAGATAGATTGCGAACCTCATTTGAGGGTTGCAAATTAGTTTTAATTGTTGATTTAGTTTACTTTATTTGAGAAAAATATCAAACACATCTTTAAAAAAGGAAGTAGTACATATAGGATCATTAGTTATATTCGTTTACATTTGAGTTTGGAATGCGGAATAGGCCACTTTCCAACCATCTTTTATATCTTTCGTACAAAAATCTTTTTAATTGAAACAACCATTAGAGAAACCACAAAATATTATGTCTTGAAGATTTTGTCCCTGTCTCTATAAACCAAACATGTTGGATTTCTATCTTGTATTTGTCCTCGTACGCTATATCCCGAACCATACGCCATGTAAACATACAATTAACATCTATATAAATATAAATGATATGCATATGATAACTTTACATATTTAACTTCTTCTTTTTTGCCCAAAAATTTGGAACATGACAAAAACTTCTTAATCATTGGATGAAAGCTTAATAGCGGAGTGGTGTTCGAAAAAAAATCAAAATCAAAAGGCCAACATCATATAAAAAAGTGGTTAGGAATTGATTTCCATTTGATCGATAATTTATGGTAATTTTCAACAATTAGAGTTTGTGTTGAACCATCACATTCCTTATGATGCATGGTCTAGGTTATGTGATTAGTACTAAAACACTAAACCATGTTACCAAACAACATTTTTGTCGTGATGTATACTTTAAAAATAGGAACTCGTGAAAAATAATTACGAAACAATAAGCTTAATAATGAAATCTTATTAGATCGTTGTATCGCTAATTAATACTAATGATTGACATTATGCATACATTGCTAGAATATTTTTCAATATACTATAAAAGTCCACCTTGCTAATCAAAGAGTTTGCTATATTATTGTAGTTATGTACTAGTTAACGATCATACTAATCAAGCATGTTTGTTCTTCAATAGCTCATAATTTGCTATTTCTTAAGCATTTCTAAGCCAAGGATAATTAATTCTAGGATTAATATCCTCACATATTTTGTCTAATAGACAAAATTTTCAATCTATCTCTAAATTTTAGAACACGTTCAATATGTTTTTATTATTTGAGCTAATTTATAATATATCATTTTAATGAAAAATTTTGGCCAGATTAAGCATGTGATTTGACACAATTATTTTTTTTAATTTAGCACAAATAATCTATATCTAATAATATAAAGATTAATTTTTAACAAATTGATCGAAATTTTTGATCGAAATATATATATTAGAAACCAACATAAATAAAAGAAACAAAACGAAAGCGTTTTAAAATTTAAAAATATATTGAAAAATTGACCTATTAAGTGAATGTATTAACTCTTAATTCTAAGATTAGTATATTCTACCCCCTTTTAATGTCTTGGTATCCTATCCATACTAGAGAACATAAACAAGTAGTATTAAATCTTTTTATTTTTATTTTTTAATTTTAACAACTATTGTTTCTCTTATTAATTTTTACATATGATAAAATGGATTCTAAATAGATTATCTACATCCAAATTATACAATTATAAGAAAGTACTTTATTGTGGTCTTGAGTATACTTATATACCAAACAAATTAAGCATACAAGAATGAAAATAGTAAATCTAAATTACTCAAACTATTGAGTTTTGGGAACTTGTGATTAAAGAAGAAGAATTATCCATCACCAACAAAATATTATCCAATTTTATCTTTATTATGTTTAAATATTATAAAACAAACTAAAGTAAAACAAGTTTTTACTATTCATTTTCACTATTTGAAATACTATTCACACACTCATAAATCACTATTCACATACTCACAAATCACTATTCTTTTCACTATTCATGTCAATTTTTTAACACTTTGACCCTCAATTTTTCTATTTCTTTTTTTTTTAATTTTAAACTTTAATTGTATTGTGATTTGGTCTCATTTTGTTTTAGTGTTTTCTTTTAAATATTTTTATCATTTAGAATTACTATTTTAATTTGTCATTTTTTTAATATAGTCATATGTTATTAATATTATGATCATAATATAATAATATTATTTTTCTACACTAAGCATGTACCATTTATTTATTTATTTTTAAATTAAATAATTAAAATAATATTTTGGCTTAACCACTCAATGATTCAAATTAATATTTTTTTATTTTAATATTATCATTCTTTTGTAAATAAATACATAAAAATTAAATTTATATTTTTTTTTCAAAAAGCAATATTCTTATCAACATTAAATAAAAGAAATTTATTTGTTCAATTCTATGTAAGCTTTTAATAATTGTTATTTATGTTTTTCGATGCGAGTCTTATGAAATACTAAAGCTTTTTTTTTTAAATTATTTAATTTTCTTTTTAGTTAATAATCCATGTATTAACAAGGATACATCCTTTTTCTAAAGGAAAAACTAAAAAAAAAAATAATAATAAGAAATAGTTAAATACAAAATTTTTGATTAAAAAATTATAATAATATTATTTTCTACACTAAACATTTACTATTTATTTATTTATTTTTGAATTAAATAATTAAAATAATGTTTTGGCTTAACCACTCAATGATTCAAATTAATATATTTTTTATTTTAATATTATTAATTCTTTTGTAAATGAATATATAAAAATTAAATTCGTATTTTTTCAAAAACCGATAATCTCATCAATATTCAATAAAAAAATTATTTGTTCAATTCTATGTAAGCTTTTAATAATTGTTTTTTATGTTTTTTGACGCAATCTTATGAAATACTAAATCTTTTTTTAAAAAATTTATTTAATTTTCTTTTTAGTTAATAATCCATGGGTTAACAAGGATAAATCCTTTTTTCTAAAGAAAAAATTATGAAAAACACAAATAAGAAATAGTTAAATACAAAATTTTTGATTAAAAAATTATAAATAATTTTTTTCACTTTTGATTTCATATATTTTTATAAATTCACCCTATAAAACAGTACTATCAAATTGAAATAATTTTATATATTTTATCTAACCCGCCGTGTAGCGCGGACAAAAAAACTAGTAGTAACTAAGTAACAACTATTTATCTTCATGTCATCTAGGTTAGAGTAATTAAGCGGTTGCTATTTATCCGCATCTCATTTAGAAATAATGCTAATTATACACAAATGTATTAAATAATTCATTTATCTAAAAACATTAAGCATTGATTAAATATCTCACACATTAAATAAATAAATTAACTCTTATAAATTCAACGATTGATTTTTTTTTTGAATAAATTAACTAAAAAACTAAAGAAAAATCATTAGTTACTCGTAGCGTTATTATTTGAAGTACTCGTTCATGCTCTTACAATTTCCTATTTACCCTTTCACATTTCACTATTCATGAGTTTTTTTACACTTTGGTCCTTGATATTTTTGAAAGCACATTTTGATCCACATATTCATTTGCTCATCCATTTTGGTCCTTGGGTGGAGAGAGAAAGCCGAGAGGAGAGAGAGATCGCGAGCAAACCTTATTTAGGCCACTCGGCCGGTGAAAATATACTAGATTTATTTATCCGTGAGAGATGAGTTTGTCCATGGTGGTTTCAACTCATTAAACAATTAGTGGAGGTAGATCGGAGCCAAAAAAGAAAAAAAAATCCGATTTGATTTTGTATTTTTCTTTGTTTTTATGTGTATTAAAATGATTTTTAAGGTTTTAGATGTGTTTATTGGCTTTATTTCGGTCATTTAGAGGTTTTGAGAGAAAAAAATGATGTTGAAATTCAATTTTTAGGGATCCGAAAGTTGACCCTCGATTTTTTGACGAACTTCCGACGACCTCCGGTTCGCCGAAAATTGTAGAGTTTTTTGTTTTGTTTTTTTTTTTTTTTGGGCAGGCAAGCACATTGGCCTCCCTCAATTTTTTTTTTTTGAAATGCGCTTCTCTCCCTATATATATATATTAATTTTATTGTGATTTAGTCCATTTGTTTTCATTTGTTTTATTATTTTTATTATTTTAAATCTATAATTTTAATTTGTCATTTTTTTCAAATTCTTATCCAATTAATTTAAAATTACATTTAATGATAATTCTCATTTATTTTAATATTATTCATTCTTTTCTCATCTAATTAATTTAAAATTATATGATCCTTAATTTTTTATATAATATTTTTTTTTAATTTCAAACTTTAATGGTATTATAATTTGATCCCATTTTGTTTTAATGTTTTTTGTTGATTATTTTTATTATTTAAAATTTACTACTTTAATTTATCATTTTTAAAAAATTCTCATCCATTTAATTTCAAATTACATTAAAAAATTTAAAATATTTTTTTATTTTTTATTTTATATATTTTTATACATTCACATTATAAAATATATATTAAATTAAAATAATTTTTTAAATTTTTATCCTATCCGCAGCATAGAAGGATAAAAAATCTAGTAAATTCGATCAGACAAAAATATGCTATGACGTTGCTAATCTAAAATCATTTAGACATGGGATAATTTAGTCTTTCCAAAAGGGAAACTGGACAGAAGTAGAGGGAAGGGTTAGATTTGGGCACAAAAGTCGGACTTGAAGGATTTTCATTTAGCTATATTACAGACAGATCGCCAAAGACCCCCAAGAGAAAATTCCAAGAACTCCAAAGCTTTCGCTCTTCTTTTCTCTGGTGGGAAATACAAGAGAAGCCACCAAGAAAGGAAAGGTAACGGAAAGAAAAGAAAGCAATAAATGAACACAGAAACAATGCAGCGGAATCGTCAGAATCTAGGGTCGCGATCTTCCAAGCCTGCTACCATTCATAACTGTGCCCAATCCGGAGACCTTCTTGGGTTCCAAAGGTTACTCAGAGGAAACCCTTATCTCCTCAATGAAAGAAACCCTGTTGTAAGATCCCATTTTTTCCCTTTCTTTAATACTCATCATGTACATTTACATGCTTTTTTTTTTTTTTTTTTTCCTGCAAATGGTGTTCTTTAAGGGGAATATTGTGAAAATGTAAGATCTTGCTTCATTTTATCTGTTGGGTTGGTTTGTGTATCTGTGCTCATTTTTGTTGTTGTGATCGGTTGGTGGATCTGTTATGGACTCAATTGAATGGACTGTGGTGAATTTGTTGTCATATGAGGACATTTTGCCCATTTTTTGTTTTGCTATGAACTTGACTTTTCAGCTATATTGTCTATGGTATCTTTGCCTGAGTTAAAGAAAGAAAAGTTTCGTGCACCTTTATATCTGGCCCTCATTTTTCCCCTTCAAATTTTAACTTGATTTGCTTTAATTGCAGATGGCACAGACTCCACTTCATGTTTCTGCTGGTTACAATAGGGCTGAGATAGTTGAATTTCTTCTTGATTGGCAAGGAGCGGAGAAGGTTGAATTGGAACCTAGGAACATGGTAAGCAAAAAGTACATGGTTATGTTTCTGTTTCCTGATCAAATTTTATATCAATTGCTTAGATCTGTCTATAAATTTATGCAAGCTTCTCTTGATTAACACATCTGATTTCAATGTGGGTGTTATCATCTTGAAATTTGCAGTATGGAGAAACTCCATTACACATGGCTGCAAAGAATGGGTGCACTGAAGCTGCACGGTTGCTTCTTGCTCATGGTGCTTTTGTTGAAGCCAAAGCAAATGTGCACTTTCTTGACACCACGTTATCATTTTTTTTCCTTGTTTAAGATTGGGAACTGTGGAAAATAATTTCTAATTTAAACTGCTTTTTTTTTCCATGTCTTATTAATGCAGAACGGAATGACACCGTTACACCTTGCAGTTTGGTACTCCATCGGAGTGGAAGACCACTCAACTGTCAAGACACTGCTGGATTATAATGCTGACTGCAGTGCAGAGGACAATGTATTGTCAATGCCAGTGCTTAGCTTTTTTCATTTTAGTTTAATTTTCTGTATTATAAAATGATGATAGTTTGTGTAACCTTAAATTTGCAGGAAGGCATGACTCCTCTGAATCATCTCTCACCAGGTCCAGGGAGTGTGGAGTTGCGTAAACTATTGCAGTGGCATCTTGAAGAGCAGAGAAAGAGAAAAGCACTTGAAGAATGCTCTAAAACAAAAGCTAAGATGGACGAACTTGAAGATGCTTTAACTAATGTAGTGGGGTTGCATGAACTCAAGAGACAACTGAGAAAATGGGCAAAGGGGATGCTTTTGGATGAGAGGCGCAGGGCCCTTGGTATGAAAGTGGGTATGAGAAGACCACCTCATATGGCTTTCTTGGGAAGCCCTGGAACAGGTATCGGACCATTTGATTGTTTCTGGATTATCCTGCCATTTCATCATATTCTATAAAAATGACTTAATTATTGCATCCACATACTTATACTTTTAAACTTGTGTCATTAGCTTGGATTAACTTTCAACTCTGTTGTAATTTGGAGACAATGGAGTTCTTATCTAAATTTAATTAGGCCTTATCGCCAAAAAATTGGCTCAATACCCTTTCTTCTGTTCCACTGTTTATTGAACCACAGTTTTCATTAAATTATACACCAAAATCTTCTTTCCAGATAAGTCGATCTGTCCCATTTTGTTTCTGAGATTGTTCTTCTCAAACATTTGCAACTTTTCCCAACCAATGCTACCTGTACTTCCTAATTTATGTTGCCATTATGTTGCAGTTGGGTTTCCCTATTAGATGTGAAAAGAAGAGACTAAGCTGCATTCCATGACATTCATGGGATGACAAAAAAGACTATCATACATTTCTTCAGTTTGTCAATATGTATGCATGTTGCTCTCTTGTTTAACCTCTTAATAGTTTCTCTTTAGAAGAATCTCAATTTTCAGTGGCAGAGAAGTATAAGAATATTGAGTGGATTGGTTTTCAATTATTTTGTGATTGTGCTTAATTTTTTCAATAAATCTTTGATTAAGTCATAGAGTGAGATGATTATCATATTCTATAGGTAAGACCATGGTAGCTCGAATACTAGGAAGATTACTCCATATGGTGGGAGTTCTACCTACTGACAAGGTAACTGAAGTACAGCGTACGGATTTGGTTGGGGAATTTGTTGGTCACACTGGACCCAAGACTAGAAGGAAGGTTTGTTGCTGGGGTCTCCGAAATCAAATGTTATCTTTACCTTGGCAGAGAAAGTAATACTTCCTTTCAATAAACTAATTTACAACTCCTGTTGCAGATTGCAGAAGCAGAGGGAGGAATTCTTTTCGTGGACGAAGCATATCGGCTTATACCATCGCAGAAAGTAGATGAGAAGGACTATGGGATTGAAGCCTTAGAAGAAATCATGTCTGTTATGGACAGTGGAAAAGTCGTAGTCATATTTGCTGGCTATAGTGAACCAATGAAGCGTGTGATTTCTTCCAATGAGGGTTTCTGCAGAAGGGTTACCAAATTTTTCCATTTTAATGACTTCTCGTCTGAAGATTTAGCAAACATTTGCCACATCAAGATGAATAATCAGGATGAAAGTAGTTCTTTGTATGGTTTTAAATTACATTCTTCATGCAGCGTGGATGCCATTGCAGCCCTGATACAGAGAGAAACAACAGAAAAGCAGCGTAGGGATATGAATGGAGGTTTAGTTAATACCATGCTAGTTAATGCTAGAGAGACTTTGGATCTCAGGCTTGATTTCAACTGTATGGATACTGATGAACTGCAGACCATCACCTTAGAGGATTTGGAAGCAGGCCTTCAACTGTTATAGTCATGACAAGGAAAGAATGTTCCAGTAATATATTTTTGGTAGCCTTGTAGGATTTCATTGTTTTCAAAGGTTTATAAATGTATTCTTACAGTTGGTTTAGGGGTCTAAGTTTGTCCAAGATTTTACACATCCTGTCCATTATAAGGAAAGAATGTGCTGTTTGTTGTTGTTGTTGTTAACTTCGACAAAAACAGGGAAATGTCCTTATGTTTATTAGGCCCTCTATTTCTTAATTCATTCATTAGGCCATTCAGTCTGTGCTATCATGTAGTAATAATCTTTTTCAACTTTTGGTTGCCAATTTGTTTATTCTGTAATTGTAAAACTTTTGGCATTAGTAGTTCTATTATGGTTCCCCTTTGCATCTTTCCTGTTCTTTGGAAAGAGAATGATAGATGGTCTTGAAAGGAAAAGGAAACCGAAGATGTCCATCGACCTTGAAAAATATCGTGCAACAGGTCGTGTACTTAGCGTAGGAAGGAAAAAAAAAAAAAACTATTTGTTGACAATAAAAATAAAAGAAAAAGGGTTAAAAAAAAAAAAAAAATCCCATGCCATGACACCAATGATATCACAAATGATGTAGTAAGCAGAAGCAAGAAAGTGTGCTCTCAATATCTCCAAAATTTCTGGTTGAACAAATACACCTAAAAAAGAAAAGAAAAGGAAAGAAAAATATCCTCTCTCTCTCTCTCTCTCTCTCTCTCTCCAACTATGGTCTCAAGTTCCCTCTCGATAATACTTTCACTGCCCACCTACTCAATTCCTTCAAATTCAACCTCTGATTCATCTTCTACCTCTACATCTTCTCTCAGGTCTTCACTAACATTTCAAAACAACTCAAAACCAGTCAAAATTTCACCTTTTCTTCGCTTCTCTCTTCAAAAATCTTCAAAAGTATTTGCCTTTTCTTCCAATAATAATATTATTAATCAAGATGGGTCAGCTGAGCAGTTCTTCGAAAACAATTCTATTGCGGATTTCATGAGGTTCAAGAAAGGCTCTGATAGAGGCAGTGGTGAGTTGCAGACTGCTGTTGTTAGTTATAAAAAGAGATTCCATTGGTCCATTCTCTACCCTTTTTTTCAGGTACATCTTTCTCAGTCTTGGCTTGTTTCAATTGGGTTTGATGTTTTAGTGAGATTATTAAATTATTTATTGTTTGCTTGCGGTGCTTTTTTATATTTTTTTCCTGTTCAGGTTGATTTGGTATCTACAATTCACATTGCGGATAAAGAGTATGTACCACTTTGTTTGAATTTGGTTTTTTCATTTTTCTGTTTTTATGGTGTCGTTGTGTTGCTGTTTGGAATTGATTAGAGATGGTGTGTATCTGATCTTATTGCTTTAATATTTTTTTTTAATTACCTGGTACTGTTGGTTATAGTGATGTTATTACAATTTGTTTTTAAGTTTTCTCTAGTTGATTGGATACTGTGATTTTCGTAGCTTTCTGGTTAGCTTTCTTTATTTATTGAGCTTTTACCAGTTATTATTATTGTGTATAGATATAACTATACTTACAACTACACCATATATACATATATATAGTTGTAAGCTACAAATTAATTGTCAGGATATATATATATCCTGACAATTAATTTGTAGCTTACAACTATACCTGATGTCTGTTTTTATAACTATATGAATCAAAGTTTGAGCTTTGAAAATCCTTAAGAAGCTATTTGTATGTGTAAATAAAAAAATCATTTTTGTTTATGCCTCTGGGATTCCTCCGATTGTTTATCAACTCATTTTTGGAGTTTCTTGAAAGGGCAAGGACTAAGTTTTGGCTTGAGCTAACCATAAAATTATTGATAGTGATGGCTATAACTACTATTAGCTGTTTTTTATTCACCTTTTTGCCTGAATTCATTGGCAGATACTTTGTGACCCTTCAGAAGGAACTTGAACCATATGATTGTGTCCTTTATGAGATGGTGGCTAGCAGGGAGAGTTTGGAAAGTAGAAGGAGTGCTGGTGCTACAAAGAGAATGAAAGGTTCACGGTCAAGAGGATTTAACATTTTGGGGTGCATTCAGCGACAAATGGCTCGAATCCTTACGCTTGATTTCCAATTGGACTGTCTTGATTACCAGGCTGAGAATTGGTATCACGCAGATCTTGACTATGAGACCTTCAAGTTACTTCAGGTATAAACTGCAATGGAATGGATATCATGGAGGCTGTTCAAATGAATTTACATTGCTCTCTCTCTCTCTCTCTCTCCCCCCTTTTCTGGCCACTCTCCTGCCTCTTAGTTATTTTGGTACCAATATTTCCATCTGTTGCTCTTTTCAAATAGTGTTATGCAGTTGTTTCTAAATAAAGTAACGTGGGAAGTACTTGGTATTGCCATGAAGAGGTAGTAAATATGAATCAAAATTTGATGGAATTTATAATTTCTTTTTATTTTAGTTTTTACCATGTTATAATTGGTTCATTGCTTCCGTTTCGCAGTCTTACCATGAAAGTATGACTAATGTTGCTTTTTGACTTCTTTTAGCATGAAAAAGGTGAAAGTTTCTTGACATTTGCAAGAGATATGACTCTAAAATCAACAAAAGCCATGGTGCAGCCTACAATTCCAGAAGACCTTGGTCCTTGGAGATCCAAACTTCTATGGGCTTCTCGTGTGCTTCCTATGCCACTTGTAGGCTTATTCATTATTGGAACTGTTTGTGATGCGGGAAGTCCGGCATCTGAATATCCAGAGCTAGAAGCCTTATCCAGGCTTGATTTTGGTGCTGCAATGAAGGTGTTCCTGGCAAAGCGATTAACATCTGAGTAAGTGGTGACCATTTAATTTAGCAGTATTGTTTTCACCATATGATTTTTTCCTTGATTTGAGGTATGATAAATTTGCTACATGTTTAGGGTGGGATTTAGTTGTTTTGTTCCCTGTGTTCACATTACTTTGAATTCTTTGGTTCAATTAATGCTCTTCCTCCCCACTGAGACAGAATCTAAGCAGCTCAGCTTCATTGAATTGTTGGTGTTCTAAAGTATAATTGGAGTGTTGTTTTGCAACTACTGAGTATTCTCAACTTGGAAAAGTTCATAGTTACATAAATCTCAAATAGTCCCTGTTAAGTAAGAGCTCCACTCAGCCTAGTTAGAGCTTAGCAGGCATTTGTTTCCATACCAGTGTTTCTTGTAGGCACGGAGTGCAAATTGTTCCATTGATCAAATAATTGTCATAAAGTTAGGTTCCTGGTTGTTTGTTTGTTTGTTTTTTTTTTTTTTTTTTTTTTGGGTGTGTGTGTGTGATTTTGGAGTAGTTCAAACTATACTACTTGGATCGAGCATTATTTGGCTTATGAATGATGAGATTGAACTTTGTGATGTTAATTTTCATTCCACATAGCAGATTACATCAGTATTTAGAGCCAAATTAGTATGATTTTCATTTTTTTCCCCCTAAAAAAAGAGTATGATTTTCTATTTCAAAGGTCAATACCTTAGAAAGTAAAATAAGTGATGATCTTAGATGGTCAATAAAAGGTACATGCTTCCTCTATCATGAGAATACTGGTTCCTTAAGTGAATTGATTGAAGGGTAGTGTTTTGAAGGTTCACACAAGTGACAGCAGATCTAGAAGAGGAGTCAGTCATCATTGGTGAGAGGAACAAAGCAGCAGTTGAAGCACTTAGAAAAGCTATAAACGAGGGTCACAATAGGATTGCCATACTATATGGAAGCGGCCACATGCCAGACCTGGGGAGGCGCTTGCGAGAGGAATTCAACTTGCTTCCTTGGCGAGTGCAGTGGATAACAGCTTGGTCTATAAGGAACCGGGTTCTCAGTAGCAGTTCCCTTCCATTTCTGAAAACAATGGCTGAAGTTTCAGGTTGGCAGTTGAACCGCTACCAGACATTGGCATTGCTCATCTTTTCATCAGTCCTGGCATTAGATCTTTGGTTTTGGGAGCTCTTTTTTGGAACTACAGTGAACTGGATCTCGCAAATTGCTTCAGAAGTTGGGCAATATGTGGACAACACAAGGATGATTTGGTAATATTCTTTATACGATTGTTATTAACTAGGGTAAAAGAAAATTTCTTTTTTCCTGTATACATACTGGAAATTTGATTAAGTAGAACGTAAATTTATTTAGCTGAGCCAAACAAAGACTTAAAAAGGGTAATTTAATTCCACCATCTTGATTTGGATAAATTCATTTATGTAATCTATCAGCTATGCCATTAACATTATACCAGGGAGGCTCTTTTGCTTGGGGTTTGTATGGTTTAACAAGAATTTCAAAGAACACATCGATAACACGGTTGGAATATCATTTCAAGCTATGGGAACTTTTTCCTTGCCATGTTTCCTTTTTTTCAACTTTGTTATCTTTTTATTTGGCAAAATAATTTATCTTTCTACCTTTATTGACTTTTATTAATTTATTTTTATTTTTCTTTGGTTTTAATTTAGTTGCTTTTAGAAGTAAAAAAAAAAATACTTCTGTTGAGGTTCTTGATTCACTACAAAATGATTACCAAGTCAATAGGAAAGTCAGGAGTTGTTTAGAGTGGCATATAATTGTAGTTACATGGTAGAAACAAACATCCAGTGCTTTCTAGGGGGAGAAAATAACGGAAGGAACGATGTCATCATTTATAATGCCACACATAATGGGCTGATAAAGAAAAACTGAAAAGATTCTTCTGTTCGTGCCTTAGAACATAAGCAGAAACAGACCGCCAAAACCCTGATAATAACCAAATAAACGTTCTGAAATCCGCAGGCACACAGATTTGGGAGGCAGTTTGAGAGGATGCTGAGGCTCCTTTGTAAATTTTCCTTGGAGCAGCCTCACAACCTGTGCAAATGAAAAACAACTTAAAAAGAGTTAGTACTACTACTACTACCAGTCGAAAAAAAAAAAATGGTAAGACAACCTTGTCTGAAATTGGTTCTGAAGCCAATATAAACATAGAGCAGATGCCTCATCCTTCCGGTTCTTGTTGTTTTCCTTCGGATTGCCTACTTACCCCAGTTTTCTAGGGTGTGATTAATTAATAACTAAAGAAAATAAAAATTTTATCATAGCATTAAAATAAAAAAAGAAAGGAAAAGAAAGAGAGAGAGAGAGAAATAGAATTAGAAACATTTTATGAGACGGGCGGAGGGAGAGCCCCAAGCACTACAACGACTCTTCTGCAGATGGAAGCTGCGGCGGCCACACCTCACGCACGGTGCGTGAGTCTTGTTCCTTCTCTTCCCAAAGCTTCATGTTCTTTTTCCCTATCAAAACCTTCAATTCAAAATCCACATATACTAGTATAACTACTTAAAGATTATATATTATTATTAACCAACTTATCATTTTCTTAGTTTTTCTAACTTGTTTGCGAAAAAGAAATAACTTCAATTCTGAATGCTTAATTAATGGAGTATATCTCTCTCTCGATGGTTACAATAACAATCCACCTAGTTTTAAATAAACCGCTTGAAATAACGACAAGGAGCATACTTATTGAGAGATGGCAATAGGATTGTAAAGCATGGATCGATTTTGAATACCAAAAATAATGTTTACACTTGTCGATGGACTTACGGAGACAGGAAAAGGAGTTGCCACCTAATTATCGAAAAGAATTAGAAAACGTTCAAACAAGATTGCTCCGTACAAATATTTAGATAACGGATCGATTATGTATGAGAAAGATATAACATAATCATATGAGATGGGTACAATTAGTCATTTGACTTGAAGTCATCATGATTATCTCATTAAAGATTTTATGTATTTTAAGACTCGTTTTGATGGACTTAGTAAAGGGTTATGTATAGGCGATTTGTAGGGCGCACTAAGAATCTAATAAAGATATGTGGATGACTAATATAGGACATGTCATTCCTTATATGTTAAAGGAGTTATCACATTGCTCTTTGATAAATATCTCGCTCGAGAAATATGTGACCATAGTAGGAGTACATCAATAAAGTATAATTAATTTACTTTAAGAGCTAAGACATTTAGACATCGAAAAAAATTTATATGATCATAATCAACAAACTACTAACTATGTTTGAGATCAAACTATGATAAATTGACATGGGGACGAAATTGTATGGTAACCATGCTTGTGAAAGGTAATTGCAAATTAATTAATCCTCCTAGAGAATTAGGTAGTCATGATGCCTTGCTAGAGGTCAATTTTGATTTATGTATCAAGAGATAAAAGATATTTTTTTTATTCTTGATACATTATCAACATATCTTGAAACCTATTGAGTCACATGCATAATTTTAAGTATTCACAAAATAAAAAAGAAGCAAAGATTTTGGAAATGGTTTTCAATTTTGTAACTTTTCTATTTTCAAAATTTTTTCTAAAATGGAAAGTTTCTTATTTTAGAAATTAATTTCCTAATTTGGAAGTCAGTTCCAAATTTGGGAATAAGTTCCCTAAAAAGAAAATTAGTTTTCTAATTTAGGTTTAAAGGTAATTTGGGAATTTTTTTCCTAAATATAGGCCTCCTAAAAATATCAAACCTAATTTATTTGGATAATCTAAATTAATTAGTAATTAATTAAGTTAAAAGAGTTTGGGCCAATAAGTTTAATTAAAAAGCCTATAAGATATTTTGATGAAAGGATAAACATGAATCTTATTAGATAAGTATCAAAATTTAAAAAGATAGGATAAAAAAAGCCTACATGCATTACAACTACTAATCTTTGAAAGATTAGAAAGCAACAATCAAGAGTCCTTTTTAGGACTTAATACCACCACCTCCTTATCCTCGGAGGACAAGAAAGACACTCCCCTTATAAATAGAAAGGGAGGTACAAAAGAGGAGGTGCAACGAAAGAGTGAACAAGTGCTGAGGCATGCACGGTTGAGGGTAAAAATAAAGAGAAAATAATTTTCTCTTCTCTAACACATGCTACACCTCTCCCTCTCTCTTAAGGTTGTCATAAAATATTCTTGAATACATTTTTGAAAAAAAAACATTAAACAAGTCAAAAAATGTGGAGCTAGTACTCTATAATTTCGAGTGCTTCTTACATGGATACTTGGGTTGTGTGGATTATCGATAAAGGCTAGGCATTTGGATGACTCTTTTTCTACAAAGGCTAAAGTTTGTGCTATAAGAGGTAATCCTTCACTTATGTTTTAATTTATATATGTATGAATAGTTGATTCAACGACTTGATCTTGAGATCTTTAGATGGAGGATCTACTACTACTACTACCGTGCAAATGAAAAACAACTAAAAAGAGTTAGTACTACTACTACTACTAGTCGACTACCTAAAAAAAAATGGTAAGACAACCTTGTCCGAAATTGGTTTTGAAACGAATGGAAACATGGAGCGGATACCTCATCCTTCCAGTTCTTATTGTTTTCCTTCGTATTGCCTTCTTACCCTAGTTATCTAGGGTGTGATTAATTAATAACTAAATAAAATAAAAATTTTATCATAGTATTAAAATTTAAAAAAAGAAAGAAAGAAAGAAAGAAAGAAAGAGAGAGAGAATTATAAACATTTTATGAGACGGACGGAAGGAGAGCCGCAAGCACCATAACAACTCTTCTTTAGATAGAAGCTACGACGACCACACCTCACGCACGGTGAGTGAGTCTTGTTCCTTCTCTTCCCAAAGCTTCATGTTCTTTTTCCCTATTAAAACCTTCAATTCAAAATCCATATATACTAGTATAACTATGTAAAGATTATACATTATTATTAACCAACTTATCATTTTCTTAGTTTTTCAAACTTGTTTGCGAAAAAGAAAAAACTTCAATTCGAATGCTTAATTAATGGAGTATATCTCTCTCTCGATGGTGATGATAAAAATCCACCTAATCTTAAACAAACCGCTTGAAATAACTACAAGGAGCATACTTGTTGAGAGATGGCAATAGGATTGTAAAGCATGGATCGATTTTGAATACCAAAAAATAATGTTTACACCTATCGATGGCCCCACGGAGGCGGGAAAAGGAGTTGCCCCCTAATTATCGAAAAGGAATAGAAAACCCTAAAACAAGATTGGTCTATATAAATATCTAGATAAGGGATCGGTTACGTATGAAAAAGATATAACATCATCATTATCATATCCTATCCGAGATAAAGTTGTATTGTTTGCATATGAAAATAAAAATCTGGTTTTACCCTATTATGTTTTTATACCTATATGAGTGAATTTAATTTATTAAGGTAAATTGATTGAGTAACTTAGAGTTTAGGCTAGTCAAAGGTCTATATCCATACTATAAAGAAAAATATGGTTATGAATGAAATTTTGGCTAAAACTTGGGTGATCGCAAATCAGTATTGGTAAAAAGGTGAGAGTCTCTTAGAATTACAAGCCCATATTGGCATAATCAAGAAACCGTTAGTGACTTCGTCTACATAAATAGGAAGTCACTTGATAATTTTAAATCACACAAGTAAAGAGATGAGGGGAACATTGGTGACTTTATCTATGTAAGTGGAAAACCACCGACAAAAAAAAAAAAATCATTCAAAGAAAATAAATGAAAATGGCGAGTCCCTTACGACTCTAGACTATAACAAAAATGATTAAAAAAAGACCAATTTCATACGATTGTAGCCTATGACGAAATCATTCAAACATAATCAAAATGATGAGTCTCATTTGATTCTAGTCCATAATAGAAATTATTGAAATAGAATGAAAATGACGAGTCTCGCACGAGTCCAGACCCATAACAAAAAGCATTCAAATAGAATGCAAATAGTGATTATCATACGACCGACCCATAACTAAGAGCATTCAAACAGAATGCAACTAGCGAGTCCGATACGACTCTAGCTCATAACGGAAAGCATACAAACAGAATACAAATGACGAGTTTCACACGACTCTAACGCATAATAGAAAGCATTTAAATAGAATGCAAATGGCTAGTCTCATATGACTCTAGCCCATCATAAAAAGCATTCAAACGAATACAAATGATGAACAATGGCATTCCTAAATATTTGATAGTTCCTCGTTGCTAGAGTGAAATTGGTCTAGGATGTAA